CTATGTAAATATGCAAAACAGGGTGCTATGTATACCTTTCTGTGCGTCTTACATACAATTTGCTCCTAGGTGGCTTTTCAAACTAAACATATCCCCTTTTGTGACCAACACAATGCCATTATGCAAAGCCATGTGCTAGTTATACCTTTTGTTGCTTCTTACTAGCACTTTGTTTTTCAGCTTTAAACCTTTTGTGACCAACACAAAGCAAATGTTCCAGGCACCCCCCAACCCCCTCCAGCTTTTGAACCCAACATCTGTGTCAACAAACAACATTTCACGCCGAGTCCTGGCATACCTTTTGTGAGCAACCCCAAGTTAAAGCTTAGAAGAAGAGAGATGAAAGAACCCATCCAGAATCCACATACCTTTTCGGACAGGCCCCAACCAAAATATAGGACCTGGTGCATATACCGTTGGTTCTTACAGGTGACTCGCACCAATTCAAGCTGATTCTCTCCCATCTGCTGCCTCAGCCATCCCTCAGTCACAGATTGCTGTGTAACAATCTTTGCAAACTGCAAGCTGCAGCGGGATGAGCTATCCACATGGGTGTCAGGACATAGCAACAATAGTTGCGCTACATCGCTACGCTCGCAAGCGTGACCCAACCCAAGGATCCATACCTTTTGTGACTTTGTGACCAACCCCACGAGAATTTCAAGCAAACTCAAATTTATGTCGTACACTTTCTGTGCTTCTGGACCTTGCATTGCAATGATAACAGCTTTACAAAATTAACTGCTTCACCCTAGCAGGCCCTGCTCCATCATGCCTTCAAGGCACTGTGCCGCACCCTCTGCAGTGGGGTCGTGCCAGCGCCTGACAAGCAAGCAGCATGACAGAAGTACAAGAAGGACAAGAAGAACACAACAAAGACACTGCCAACAAGCTGTTGCCACTCCTCAGCAAAAGCGACAGGACAAGAAGGCAAAACGAAAGAACAAAAGAAAAAACAACAAGAACAAGGGCCAAGGGATGATGAGCAACCCACACGAAAGTCGTCCAGGAGCGTCAGGAGTCGCCAAAAGTTGCCGCTGGCTACCCTCACACACCCGTCACGAAAGTCAAGGAAACAAGCAGAAAAGGAAACAGGAAACGACAGCCCGCAGAAAAGAGTGAACAACTTGTTCCTAAAAACCTCGAAATTGTAATGTTGAATCCCGGACTCTCCCACAAAAGTGCACCAAAAGTCGTCAAACGTCGTCGGTTGTCGTGTCTTGTCGGGACAGTTACCGATGGCACTCACGTCGTCAAAAGTCAGAAAAAGTCGACAATCACCAACAACGTCGCAAAACGTCCACTTGACTCGACAAGTCTTCAACCACGCTTGCCTCCTGCAGGCAAAAGAACGCCACTGCGCCGAAGTGCATGGATGTTTCACCCGCGCTGCGCGAGCCCGCGATCAGAGCTCTCAACACTGCGGAGTCACACAAAGAATACGACCGAGTGAACCTTGTGTCGTCTCCCTGAACGAATGATCACGTTCCCACCCTTTCAGTCGAAGGGGGGGGAGGGTGACCCCAAAAAAGATAGGAGAACAGAGCTGGAAACAAACTAATAACAACACAGTCCTCCTGCACAGGTCTCTTGTGAACAACTTTTTGGTAAAGACCTCGAAATTGCAATGTCAAATCCCGGACTCTCCCAAAAACGCACCAAAAGTCGTCAGGCATCGCGTGTCGTCGTCTATTGTCGGAAAAGTTGCCGATGGGGCTCTTGAAGGTTAGCCTATGTCGTCGAAAGTCGGGAAAAGTCGAATTGAGTCAAAGGGGGGGGGGGGGGGGGGGCCCCTTCCCCCCCCTTTTTTTTGTCGGGGGGGGGGGGGGGAGGTGCTCACCCTCCCCCCCCTCAATTTTGTTTGGACAAAACTGGGGGAACTATCCCTTCCTCAATCTTTGTTTAGTTGTTTCCCAAGCATTCAATTGCTGATGCAGTCCAGCCATCCTGGTGGCCAATGTGGTCACCAAACCACTGTCACACTGCAAACTGCGAAGTCCCCATCACCAAACTTTGCTTCTGTCCCACCTGGCAGGCTTCCTGCTGTGGAGCCTTGGGAGCCTGGATTCTGACTCCCTATACTCCCTGCTATATAGCATGAAAATACCACACACCCAGCCTCTGGCTCTGCAACGAGTGACATGGAGCCCTAACAAGGGAATAATTGTAGATCCGTTAAACGCCAAGGTAAATGAAACCAAGCGGTCCTTTGGATGCATCAGTAGTGCAGGCGGATCCTCCAATTGACGCGCGCAAACTGGTAACCCAATTGGCCTTTCGATTCGGCTCCAAGCCTGAGGGACTTGCGCGTAAGCCCTTGTCGCCTGCGCAAGTCTTGCGGATTGGTATGATCGGTGAGCGCTTGACCGCTATGTTACATGTTCATCATCATCAAATGTAGCGGGATTCCTGGAGGAGGTGTTTTTCCCGAGAGCGCCTGCGAAGGGTTCTTCGTAAAAAACATCTGCAGAACTACCTCTCATCTACATCTTCACATCTTCACCTCTGCACATCCACATTCTCACCTATATCTCTGCTCATCTTCACATCTACACCCACAACTGCACATCTACATCTCTGCACATCTTCACATCCTCACATCAACATCTCTGCTCGTCTTCATCTTCACACATCTACATCTCTGCTCATGTTCACATCTGCACATCTACATCTCTGCTCATCTTCACATCCTCACATCTACATCTCACATCTTCACCTCTCGCTCTTCTTAATTGTCTCTCTTGAGGCCGGGGCAGCGCCGCCGGACCGCCACGAAACGCAACCCTCTGCGGAGATCGCGCGTGTCGGATGGGCGAAATGCAGGCGAGAGTGCGATTTGTCCCGGTCGCGGGCAACCCTCTGCGCAGATCGTGCGCGTCGAGTGCGCGCAATGCAGGCGAGAGTGCGATTTGTCCCGGTCGCGGGCAACCCTTTGCGGAGATCGTGCGTGTCGAGCGCACGAAATGCAGGTGAGAGTGCGATTTGTCTCTGTCCGTCGCAGCCCTCTGCGGAGATCGCGCGTCGAGTGCGCGAAATGCAGGCGAGAGTGCGATTTGTCCCGGTCGCGGGCAACCCTCTGCGGAGATCGTGCGTGTCGAGCGAACGAAACGCAGGCGAGAGTGCGATTTGTCTCTGTCCGTCGCAACCCTCTGCGGAGATCGTGCGTGTCGAGTGCGCGAAATGCAGGCGATAGTGCGATCTGTCCCGGTCGCGGGCAATCCTCTGCGGAGATCGTGCGTGTTGAGCGCGCGAAATGCAGGCGAGAGCGCGATTGTCCCGGTCGCGGGCAACCCTCTGCGGGGATCGCGCGCGTCGAGTGCGCGAAATGCAGGCGAGAGCGCGATTTGTCCCGGTCCGGGGCAACCCTCTGCGGGGATCGTGCGTGTCGAGCGCGCAAAACGCAGGCGAGAGTGCGATTTGACCCGGTGCGGGGCAACCCTCTGCGGAGATCGTGCGTGTCGAGCGCGCGAAATGCAAGGGAGAGTGCGTTTTGGCCCGGTGCGGGGATCGCGCGTTGAGAACTGGCGACTTTGTAGTACAACTTTAGTACGCGGAGTATCGGGGGAGCTGGAAGATGAGAACTGGCGACTTTGTGAGAGGTTTGCAAATTTTAGCTACTTTGCTTACTCATAAGTGGCTGCCACAAAAGAGTCATCGTGACGTTAGTAACTTCACCTTAAGACAAGCGATGTTCGCTTGGAATACACGAGTCACTTGCATTGGTCGTAACGTCGTTTACTCTCAGGTCGCCCTGTTCGTGGAAACTTGAGTGTGAGATGTACGTTCTTCAGTTCTATTTGAACCTCTTCAGCGTTGCGCTTGCGCAACTAAGGTTGACGTTGCGCTGCCGTTGCATCGACGCATCTACGTCTACACCCCCTCACCTCTCTACATTTACATCTTCACACGCTCACATCCGCACATCTACCTCTCCACCTCACCACACCCACACATCTGCACATCTATATCACATCTGTACACCCACTACAGATCTATATCACACCTGCACATCCTCACTGTCACTCCTTCACATCCACCCCCTCTTTCTCTCTTTCTATACATCTTTTCGACAGTGCTGGACAATTACATGCGCCAACCGTCCTCTAGTTCTATTCTGACTGGGTACCAGCGAACAATGAGAGTTTCCGCTATCACTATCGCAAGTGCCTGCTCGGCCTGGGCCACCTGCATGGCTTTTGTCTTCGCTGCCTTCACTGCACTTTCAACCCAAACACACACTCTTAAGATGGATGCACCCTATTGTCCTTCTTCAATCTGGCTCTGAATCTCGTAAGCTGTTGACAGTCTAGTTAAGGTGAGAAAAAGACAGAAGACGCAGTACCACTCTACAGGCCTCAAACCTCAGAAATGGCCCTGCAAAATTGAAAAGGCCAAGCAAAGAAAGACCTTGATTCCGCGCCGCAGAGTGTTGAAAACGGATTCTAACAGCAGGTATGTCGATAGTGATCGGCTCTCTTGTCCCGTGCAATATGTAGCTTTGTTGGACATGGTCCCTGTCCCTGATTGCTCGCCATGTCCCCATGCAATGACTCTGCAAGTCTGGTAAACAAATTCCTGGATACGGGCAGTGACAAACAAACCAACAGAGCAACAAAGGCTGTTCACTTCTCCGTGTTTACTTCTCCAAACCATGTTTGCGCGTTTGGGTCGGCGTGGCCAGAAAGCAAGAAAAGTAGAACGGGTACTGTCCACAACCCTGCCTGCAAAGCAGCTGCAGCAGCTGCATTTTGTTTTAGCTCTTCCGCTTTTCGGATAGCCGCCTGCGCCAATCAGGAAACAAGGGCATGTGAAGACTGCTGCAAACAAACCGATGCATTGCTGCAGGATGCACTTCTCTGCTAGATGTTGCTTCCAACAATTAGAGCGCTGCCTCCTCTGCCTCAAGCTGCATTCGCGCGGCCTGAGCAAGAGCGTCATCTGCCCACGACCGTGAGGCAGCCGACAAAGCCTCAGATCTGCTGAGCCTGCGCCTCTTCCAAAGCCTTTCTCTTTGCAGCCTTTGTCGGGATCAATTCTTATACCTTATACCCAAAAATGGTGATCCTCGTGCAGCCCCACCTGCTCTTCTTGAAGTGCCTTAATCCTCGCCGCCTGCATTCAGCATCCGGAGAAGGCGAAGAATGCTTCTGGACTCCTGATTTTTGCGAGTCTGGCCTGCATGGCTGCAGCATGCTCCTCCTCCAGCGCCTTTAAGCGAGTGGCCTGCATTCCCAGCTCAGTGAGTTTGTCCAACACTCGCTCACAGGACAGCCATGGAAAGCACCTGCATTGCAGCAGCCTCTTCTTCCAAAGCCTTCATCCTTGCAGCGTGCATTGCCTGAGTGCTCCAGGTAGTGGTTTCAGCAAAGGGCAGAGCTGCTAAAGTGATAATCATTGCTCGCCAGTCGTGTGGTCTAATGGTTTTGCTGCCTTAAGTTGTTCCTCCTCTTTGTCCTGCAACGCAATAAAAGGGAGCAAGTGTGGAGCTGACAACGCATAATGCGTAATCATGCACGCTCCTTTCGCTGGGACCTCGATCGGGTCGTTTGCTCCTATAGTGACGCGGGCTTGTCTATTTTTGACGTTCGGGCCGGGATGTTGGACTATGGGGTTTGCTTCGGGGGCATGCTTCGCCTAAGTCGAACATCCAGCCCCACATAACTGGACACCCTAAAAATAAGAAATTACTTTACTTTGAGTAACCCCCACCCTGACATTTCAACCATTTGTCTCCATGCCATGGTGAGGATAATGTTGCCATGGTTTGTGAGTTTTGTGGTTCTCGACTTTGCTTGTGGGTCCTCGGGTTGTGTGTTGTGGTTGTGTGCCGTGGTTGTGTTCTGTGGTTGTGTGCTGTGGATGTGTCTTCGTGGTTGTGTATTGTGACTGTGTTTGTGAGTGCGTGCTTGTGATTGTGTTTGTGGCTGTGTGTTTGTTGTTGTGTCTTGTGGCTGTGTTTGTGATTGTGTGCTTGTGCTTGTGATTGTGTGATTGTGTGCTTGTGGATGTGGTTTTGTCTTTGTGGCTGTGTGCTTGTGATGCTGTGTTTGTTGCGCTTGCTGTCGTGCTTGTGGCTGTATATTTGTGATTGTGTGTTTGTGGTGGAGGTCCGGCGGGGAACACTGCCATCCGGAGCTGGCGATTGAGGTCCGGGGGCGAACACTGCCATCCGGAGCTCGCAATTGAGGTCCGGCGGGGAACACTGCCATCCGGAGCTCGCAATTGAGGTCCGGCGGGGAACACTGCCATCCGGAGCTCGCAATTGAGGTCCGGCGGGGAACACTGCTAATCCGGAGCTCGCAATTGAGGTCCTGCGGGCAACACTGCCATCCGGAGCTCGCAATTGAGGTCCGGCGGGGAACACTGGCATCTGACACTCGCGGTTGAGGAGGCGAGGAGGAGAGGAGTGGAGGAGGAGGAGGAGGAGGAGGAGGAGCAGCAAGGCAGCTGACATAAAATCTAACAACCCTCACCTGACAGACAGGTGGGGAAACAAACATACGGATTGGCAACACCCCTCCGCACACTGCCAAAGACACAATTCTAGTCAGTCAAAGGACAAGCAGGACATGCCACGAGCCTTGCGTGATCGCCTTCTCCTTCTCCGTGAGTGCGACCTTGAAGCATCCTGCGGCACGAGAGCCAAACTTGTGGCTTCCTTCCTTCCATGAAAATATGAGTCGCTCAAGGAAGTTGTTCAGTGGGCAAACCATGACTTGTCCTGTCTAGAATCCACTTTCGATCTGGAGGCCTCACGTTGATGAGAGCAAACTCACGTCAAGTGGCCCTGCTGCAGCGCATTATGTCAAGCTTTGGCCCTCCGGGGTCGTTGGAATCACGTTTTGAATCCTTTCGAGAATTCACCTCAGAATTGATTGGGCAAGGACATGGGTTACCCTTCTTCGTGTCTTCGTTACATCAGTTCAGCCGAGCACCGTCCAAAGATGCGACCGCTGTGGGATATGCGGAGGCTATAGGTATGTGCGAAGGTGACACCAGCGCAACTCACAATAGAAAACTGGAAGGCAGAATTGCCTTTGGCAGAGTTTCTTCTCCTGGCCTCCCTCATTGAAAAAGCTTTCCAGCGGGAGCGGTTCCCACCAAACGGGTTCATGTGAATGTGGCCCAGGAGGAGGGATAGTCAGCATTGCCCGGCTTGTTTCGCCCAGTTTCTAGCTCTTCATACATCTCCATGCATTCATAGCTCCATGATGTGCCATATTTATCTCATGTTCGACCTCTTCCTTTTGCTTTTCAGGAGTCTCTGCAAGCGACGTGCCTAGTATCCTCCCCCAGCTTGGCACCCAACCTGCCTGCTTTTCCGACTGCAAATCTGTTCCTTCACTCACCTGTGGCCAAGTAAGAGGCTATATACAATAAGTGACTCATTTGTAGCGTAGCTGCTCCCCCTCCAACAATTATGGTAGTGGAAAATGGCCCCAAGACGTAACAGGGTCTTGGATGGTTCTTCAAACAATATGCAACACACATCAACGCACTATTTTCAACACACTCTACTCTGCAGGTCTTTTTGTGTTTGGTCCTCGTTCAACACAGTGTATGTCCCTTGCTGCCCGAGGAACTTTGTGCTGACAAAGCACGGGTTTTGTCTCCTGAGCACAGCGACGACTCTCAGGACTGCATCTCACTTGTTGGCATCTTCAGGTGAGGAAAACAATCAGATGGAAGGACAGTGCTGATGCTTTCCAGAGTTGATGTTGTTGCTCTGTGAGACAACTCGCCAGTGCGCATCATTGTGCCGATAGCCAAAAAGCGCGATAAGTTTGTGATTTGTCCGCAATCTTTGCTGTGTTGGTTGTCCTCAAACAGATTCTCGTAGCAGCCCACTCCAACAAGAAATTGTTCGTATACAAACACGCCTGTTCCAGTCGACCTCAATAAACAGTCTTTCAAACGCGCTCATGTCCATAAATAATGAATCTGATGTGTAGCTTGTGATCAATGACAACGTCAATTAGAAATCTGCGATAGTCTCAAGCTTCTATATTCAATTTCATTCCGATCTGCCTGCTTATCCGATTGCCAATCTGTTCCTTCACTCGCCTGTGGCCAAGAAAGAGGCTGAGTGGCTCGTTCGTACAGTGGCCAAGCAACACTAAATGACTTGAATATTACTAGTAGGTAAGAAGGCCTTGGATGACTCCGGCAGCAGGGACATGGAACCCTGGGCAGGCAGGTTTCCCTCTGCACGTCAGCAGCAGGCTCTTGGGCTCTTGGAAACAAAGTGAAACAGTTTGTTCTTCAAATATTCAACACACATCAACACACTATTTTCAACACACTCTACTCTGCAGGTCTTTTGGTGTTTGGTCCTCGTTCAACACAGTGTATGTCCCTTGCTGCCCGAGGAACTTTGTGCTGACAAAGCACGGGTTTTGTCTCCTGAGCACAGCGACGACTCTCAGGTCTACATCTCACTTGTTGGCATCTTCAGGTGAGGAAAACAATCAGATGGAAGGACAGTGCTGATGCTTTCCAGAGTTGATGTTGTTGCTCTGTGAGACAACTCGCCAGTGACTTGTAGACCCGAGAGTTTATGCCTATACGCATCATCGTGCCGATAGCCAAAAAGCGCGATAAGTTTGTGATCTATTCTCTTAGCAGCCCACTCCAACAAGAGATTGTTCGATGAAGTGCTGCAAGCAGGTCTGTTCCACGTGAAAACACGTCTGGTTCCAGCTTACCTCAACAAACGATCTTTCAAGCAGTCATGTCCATGTTCAATCAATTCATACGCAAGCCTGACCCATAGCCGCAGCCATTTTTTGTTGCCAGAAATTGGCTCACTCTGGAACGCTATTTCTCAGGACTTCGTTGGCGGTGACCCTTCAGCACTGCGATTTTCCTCGTGCCTTTACTTTGCAAGCGATGGAGAAAAGCACCGGAGTGAGATCCAACCTGGAGGAGAACCTTGCTTGCGCTACCCCCGCCCACCAGACTTCAGCGTCCCGGAGGCAGTATGCCTGGCGAGGGCTACTCCGTCCGAGTTTTTGCTATCACCTATGAAAGGACAGACAGCACAGCTGTGGCTTTTTGCTTGTGCAGGAGATAACTTGCCCCAGGGTCATCTTCTATGCCTTGAGGCAGTTTGCCCTTCTTGGGAAGACTTCCCTGTAAAGGCTTTTGACCTGAGTTTGAAGACCCCCGGCGAGGTGATCAACTGCACCGCAATTTTCGCAAAGATGCCCTTGCAGCAAAGGAAAGAAGTAGGAGACTGGCAGTCCGATGGACATGTCGGAGAATCACAAGTCGATGCGCATGTCATCTCAAGGTTGTCAAGCCAATCCTTCTGCAAATGTTTGCAAGTGACTGCCTTCTCCAGTCAAAAGAGGCAGCCACGTGCCGGCATCAACCGGCTCCTCTCCGCGTTGGAGCACGCGTCAAGAGCTGACAGTACCAAGCTCCCTTGCTTCAAGGAACATAGGTCCTTTTTTTGATGTCATGTCTAACCCAGGATAGAGGATAGGAAAATCAAAAAGCACTCGCTAGTAGATTGGAGGCCATTGCTAGTAGGTTGGAGGCCATCGCTCTTGGGTTGGAGGCCATTGCTTATAGGTTCTTCTTTAAGAACCAGTAACCAGACGTAATCAGACACGGGCTGCTTACAGTAAACCTCAACTTTGGACATGCCAAGTGAACCAAAGGATAGAGCAAAGGACCATCACACATGTTGCCACCGAAAAGGGAAAAACCATGGAGACATGGACCGTTGAGCCCACAAACAAGCTCCGTAAACCGTATGGTCCTATGGTTCACGAGAGCTTAGCCACTGCCGATGGAAAAGAATCGCGCTACACAAAATCTGAACTTATGTGTAAATGTAATCAAAACAATGCCAACCAAGAAGATTCGCAACAATGTCAATGCGTACATCTCTGCTAGTCTCTGGCGTGCTTGATTCCAGTCCAACCTGCCTGCTTGTCGGACGACTGCATATCTGGTCCTTCACTCCCCTGTGGCCAAGAGGCTAGGTGACTCATCTGTGGAGTAGCAGTAGCTGGGAGATATCAAATGACTTGAATACAGGCAGTAACACGGCCTTGGATGACTCTGCCAGCAAGGACAAGGAACCCTGGGCGTGGACTTTTTGTTTCTCTCTCTCCCTCTCTCTCTCTACGTGCTGGCAGGCTCGTAGAAACACCATGAAACAATGCATTCTTCCAAAAACACCACACACTTATGGATATGCGTACTGACTTGACAGCGGTGCCACACGCCGGCCTAGCGTTCCATTTCCTAAGGGTGCAGGTAAGGAAACCTAAAAAGGAAGAAGAGGTCCATCAAGTTCAGCGTGGCCATCAACTCTAAAGGAACCGTCGAACGATCGACCGACAGAATGACGTCGTCCGCTCACATCTGCAAGTCAAAACCAAAGCCCTATGCGTGACTGCCGAGAGCAAACCGGTGCAAAGGCCAGAATCTTGTTGTAGCTAAAAGCAGGGACTATTGGGAAATGTGAAGTCATCACGAAGCAGGTACGTGGATTCTGCGTCCAGAATCCATATCAGTGACTCGTAACAGCCTCTTCGTTGGACTGCCACTGTTACAAGTCAGGCAGTCCCCGTGCTGAAAAACGAGAAAAATGGTACAATCCGACAGGATCCCTGTGACTACAAGGGGCACACACACACACACTGGTCTACACTGTGGATCGTTTTGTAACTGGTTATCCGTCAAGCCGGTGCTTGCTGAGTAAGGAACTTTGCGCTGACAAAGCACCGGTTTTTGCTCCTGAGCAGAAGAGTGACGTCTCTTGGGTCTACATCTCACATGTGCCTCTTGGCGTCAGTTGTCAGGCACTGTTTGCATTCGAAACTGACCTCAACCCTAGTTTGCCGAAAGGTTGTTGAGACTGGCTCCTTCTACCTTGGATACTGTTAGAAATCGCTCAAACAATTCAAAGGATAGGCAGTAGGCAGTCAAGTCAGTTCCCCAGGACCGTAGAGAGTGTGCAAAGAGAGATTCAAGGGTCTGTGCGTGCTCACACATGATTGCAATGGGGTCAATGCCTGCATTCATGGCTGCAACTTCATAGTCATCATGTTTCAAGATTCTCAAGTCTAGAGTCTAGAGTTAGATGGGCTCTCTGCGTTGATTTTCCTTCAATTCGTAGTATATACATGCTCTAGTTAACCAATGGAAAGCATGAGACTAGACCTGGCAGACGGAGGTGGGGAAAAAAGTCATCCGCGACCCCACGTGGAGAAGCTCCAAAAGAGATCGTTCAAAAGAGACTCATCACCTTCAAAAATGCCAGATGGAAATTTATATCCGGATTTTACTTTCAACCGAATCTGCTCCGAGGTGAGCCTGTTTACTCAAGCAAGCACCTTGATGCCTGATTTGATTTTTCGTAAACATTGAACTGGATACTTGCTCTCATCGTCATGTGTACCACAAGCGTGTTGATGTCCTAAATTTTGAATGCTGAGCAGGTGGCTGGCTCACTCTCGCTTGCCTTTACAGCCTCGTATTCAGTGTAAATGTAAAGCAAGGTTCTCTGTCCACTTCTGCTTACCCCGCCTCTCTTGTTAAGGTTTCTGTCGCAGGGAACATGGCAAGGAAATCGCAGGCATCCTGCACATGCACTGTTATTGGGGTTCTTCACGCACTGGAGAAACTGAACTTTAGGCCTTCTGGGAGTCGCGCTTTTGTGCCTGACGGAACAAAGAAGAAACAGAGTTTAGGATACCTACTTCAACGGAGAATTTGCAACACAAAAAAAACAAAGTTCCTAGGCCTCTTGTACCTGCGGCTCCGACTCTGAATGTACTTGTCTTGATGATGCTGATGATGCCTTAGCTGCGCTCAACTGTTCCTGCTGTTGTTCTGTCCAAAATAGAAATGCATTCTGAGTACTGAGTACAGCAACAATTAGTCTTCAGCTCCAGTGCAAAGCTGGTGCTCTTTGGCCAAGCAACACTAGACTGCTGCAGTGGCACTTTTCGAACTCCTTGCAACCAGGCAAGATCCTCAGCTGCAAGAGTTCAGCTTATAGAGTGGTGGCCGCTGATCGGTTCATTGAACTCCGAAAATTCTGCATGTGCTCGAGTTGTTTTGTCATCTCACAGACTTTTTAGAGAAGGGGCGGAAGCCTGCAACACAGGCGGTTTGAAGTCCTGGGGCAGTAGCCACACCACTGAAGAGTCAGCAATAGAGACTAGTTCAGTCGCACGACTGATATCTGATAGCAGCTTCGTTTTTTTGTTGTTCTGCTCAGCTTCGAAGGTATCCACAGAGTTGATAGGTAGGTAATTCAAGAATGTTCAACGGTATAATATTGAATGCAGTACAACGTGAACAAAGGTTACTGAATCAGTACTGAATGCGGTGCCCGCATTTGGAGGCACGCCTAAATTCGACTCATGGATCAGAGATCCGGAAAACACCCATCCTTCTTAGTCTTGGAACGCCGTCTTGGCATCTGACAGTCAGAACATGTCAGAACAGAGTTTTGCCGAGAATTTGAGTCTGTGAACATCTGGCCAGTGAAGCAAGCCACCAGGATTGACAGCACTTTGGCAACTCGATCATTCTGCAAATGAACTCAATGACTCAATATGGCCAAGGACGCTACTAGGAGCTCCTGGCCTTACTACTAGGAGCAAGGACGCTACTAGGAGCTCCCTTGGCAGTGAGCCTGGCCCTCGACCTTTGCAGCGGCAGCATCTCTAGCCTTGACTCAATTGGCCAATTGAGAGGAAACTCATATAAACTGAGCCACCCAACTACGTTCATAAAAACTATTGTAGATCACATGTCTACACCTATTGTATTGCTATATATATAAAAACTTACACCCGCTGTCTTTTCACCCGCGCATGCAGTAGTGTGTCAAAAATGTTAAAAGAGAACAGTATTGGTTGAGAAAGACTCTTCTTCACCGATATTCCCACTCTGAAGCGCAGCAAACATCTTTCCTGCCAGACCAAGGAAAAGATGCTTGCCCCTCCTACCCCCCAGGCATCCTGCCAAACCAGGACCCCTGGGCCCAGGTAGAACTGGTCTTTCTCTCAACGACACGGGAACAACGAATTACCTCCACACACACACACAGTACCCCCCTTATTCCACCTTCCCCTAAACTGCTTTAGCGCGCTCAAGCGTTCGAGGCAGCGTCGAAAGGTCATGCTGGTGAAACGTACGGACATAGGGAAGTATTGATTTCTTGGGAGCTTTCAAGTTTGCTAGCAAGGCAAGGCCCTCATTTATGTACAGGCGTGCCGTTCTCACGGCGGCCCACCTTCCGAGGACTATGATCCTATCCAAGGATCCATGCCTACCAAACCAACATGTTGCGCCTCCCCTCCTTAAACTATAAGGGCGGAACTCGAATTCCTCGAGGTTCAACGCCTTAATACATTTGCTGAAGGTTTTGCGCCATTGGTGTGGCTTGGGGGTGAGAGGGCTGTGTGCAGGAGAGGTGTGCTTCCACGCCCAAAGCCATTGCAGAGCACACGTGACCTGCCAGATTTGGTCAAACCTAATGAGATCACGGCAGGCTTGTCGGGAGATGTCATCAGAATGTGATGGTTATACAAACGATCTCCCCCGCGCGCAGCAATCCATAAAATCCAAGCAGAAGGCTCAAACCAAAGGCGTATTCCTTGTGGAACAAGCACCATCCCAACATGGCAAAGAGGCACTCGGGATCTCATTTACGTGCCACGTCTTCAAGAGACGCCATGTAACTTGGAGCTTGCCTTTCAATCTTGGTTCAGTGTCCTGAAACGCGGCACTTGCAAGGGCGCGCCCCTCCCCCACGCTCCACAAGTATTCAATGTAGTCGGCCAACATGTCGTCGAAAGCGGTGACGTTGGCGGGGATGGTCAGGCTGTTGTTCGAGTGGGCATAGTCATAGAATTTGTTCTTTGCCAGACTGTAGCGTTTGCGAGTTTGCGGTTGCACTGTGAGCTGTCTCAACGTACCTAAAGCTTGTCGACTTTTCGCCCTGTTTTCCTTGCTGTGGCCTTCCAAATGTTGCTTCACTTTCCCCATTTTCGATGAAGTGGACGCCGGCTGGCAGCGGGGTTTTGAGCAGTCCACACCGGGTGTAGGTCCGCAGCAAGGATCAGGGAATTGACACGCTTCAAAACATGCTGGACGATGCCCGTCCACGCGACAAGCTGCGCAAGCAAACCAAACTGTCAGTCAAACGCATGAAACGTCGGCTATGAACTCCGTGACGTGCAACCAACCAACGCAGCGTTGCGAGAATTGCCCGTAGTTCCAGCACGTTGAGGCGCCAGCGCCACCCCGCAACCTCCTTCCGTCAGCGGAACAGAACCTGCAAACTGCATGGGCCTATCTCAGGCAGTTCTTCAAAGACAACCAAACCCCCACTCCTTTCAGGTATATGAACAGGCTGTCAATGTTCCTGCGCGCTGCAGGAAAGTTTCCGAAATTGAGAGGCAAGGGTTCTGAGATTCGACACTTCGGGAAGGCTTTGCTGTCGCTCTGGTCAAAGGAGATGAATGTGCATCTTTCTTTGCGCAAAAATTTTTTGCTCATGTTGCAGCTGAACGTGGAACTAGAGGACACAATTACCGAGTACAAGGAGGAGTTCAGTTTCCCCCCAAGGCATTGCGCAAAGATTTGAAGAGGCTTGCTCTCAGATGCTCTGGCTCCTGACCCAAATTGCAGAGCATTACTTACAGGAGGACATCAAATACTTTGACATTACGAGCAAATGTCATATGGTACAAGAATTGGCCATTATGTCAAAATGCATTTCCCCTAGAGTTGTGTGGGTGTTCGCCGGAGAAGACCAAATGCAAAAGATGCAGTCCATAGCCCAAACATGCACTCGGGGCAGCAAAGTTCCCCAACAGTCTGTCAAGCTTTGCCGCCATTACCGTTTGGCTTTCCATTTCCTTTTTGAAGAGCAGTGTGTTGGGCTGTAACAACCTTGTGAATATAGTTGATCCACAAAGGTGCGCCACCGGTATATACGAAAAGGGGCTGCTGCGACGCAGACAGAGGATGACATCAACAAAAGCAGCAAGAAGGTTTCGGGTATTGATATAATCAACCACTATTTAGTGCAAACTGACCTTGTCGACACATGTTCCGCGTATTCCCCTGCTCTTTTTCTGTCACCGCCTCATACTTTTGCAACACATTTCCTGGTACGGCTATTTTCAGAACCAAACGGTGAGAGGCATTTCGAGAGACCATGAGAGGCACGTTGTTTCCACTTTGTTCTAGCTTTTCAATATATCAGATGTGTGTTCTAGAAGAGAAAATTAGCATATGTCAAGCTTTTGCAACAACAGTGGGTGTCGAAGTTTGGTCGAAGTTTGGTCGAAGTTTCAGTTTTGACTATTTTTAAGGAATATATATATTTCTTTAAAAAAATATATATTTCAATTTAACTATTTTCTAGGACTTCTCGTCAGATCTGTAGAAAATAGTTAGTCAGCAAAAACAAGATATATGTCTTATTTCATGAGACTATTTCTAGGATTTTTGTTGATTTTTTGAAAAACTGACTATAATAGTCACTATTCAATATATGTATACATATATTCTTTAAAAATAGTCACATTCCTAGGATCGAGCCTAAAGGAAGGAAATAGGATAGATCAGTCTATTGGGTAAGCTTCAACCTGGCCATGCGGCTGACGACGTGCCGTTGTCTTCTGCGGCTACAAGCTCTAGCCGGCGGGCGACCTCTATGGCCGTTCCCCTGGCCATGGCCTCTAGGGCCTTGAGCCGTTGGCTCGCCACATCTAAAGCGGCCGCGATGCGCCTGTCAGGACACCCCGTGAACCAGACCATCCGCCCCCGGGTTACTCCGGCTGGGAAGAGACTGACGTGCGGTCGAAGTCTTGGGCCTATCGTGAACCCCTCCAACAAAGGCAACACCAACTTTCGCCTGTGGAGGGAGTACGAGCGTGGCTACCACTGAAAAGCATGCCACCACGTCGAAGGCCAGCAGCAGCACCCTTGGAGCGTCGAGAAGGAGCCCTTCGAGGACCGAGGGTGGAAGCTCTTCGCAGGCCTGCCAGGGGCGAGGCGCCGTGCGCTCAACTTGAGGCAGAGAGTGGTGCTGGAGGGTCGCTATATTGGGAGTCTCCCGTTTTGGTCGCGGGGGAGACGCGTGGAGTCGTGGTCAACGAGGGAGATGCGACACGGCGACTATGGGTCACAGGGACGCAGAGCGAATCTCTGTTGCGAGCCAGCAGAAGAGTGGTGGAGACGTTCCCCGCAAGGGCGCAGGCGCCAGAGAAGACGATCCTCTCCGTCGGATTCGAGAAGAGACTCTCCCAAGGCTGCAGAGGCTCCCGCTCGGAGGGAGGAAGCCGTGGAAGAGAAGGCAGCGAAAAAAAGAAAAGAAGAGAAAGGCCAAGGTAAAGGTCCAGCTGGAGGCCCCCGTCAAGGACGTCTTCAAGAACACGGCGCTGGACCCCGATGCCAACGTGAGGCACGAGCTCATGAGGAAGGCCCGAAAGATCAGAAAGGGCAAAAAGAAGAAAAAGAGAGGCTCCCGCTCCCGGAGCAAGGAGTCTTCAGGGGACGAATCGGGGGAGTCAAGCGACAGTTCGAGTTTGGGGGAGAAGCACATCGCGACCTCAGAACTGTTCGAGAGCGAAAGACGGTCACTACGCCTGTGGCGTCGCGTGCCAGGAGCATTGACCAACGCAGCGATTTTGGACATGCAAGAACAGATGATGACAGCCCACGGCTACGTGAACCGGCCGGTTGCAGAGGGAGCAGTGGCTCCCGTGGCTCAGTACTTCCGGGCGCATTTACAACCACAATGGGAGTAGCTTTGGCCCGCGAATCGTGGCACCTCGCGACCATCCTTGCGAGCGGCTTTGGAGGCGGGGGAATGGCACGCCTTGTGCGTTGGTGAGGCCGGACGGACGGGATGGCAATGATCCTCGGGGTGATGGTGACTTTGCGCGGGGGGTCGGGGCTCTCCCCCTTTGCTCTGCGGGAGTTGGACTGGCTTGTACGACGCCCTTCAACTGGGCTCCTGGCTTGGCTAGACTTGCGTCGGCGTCGATCTCGCTGGCGACTACGGGAGCGGGGCGCTGCTCTCTCTCTCTCTCTCTCTCTCTCTCTCTCTGGCGTCCTGCTCCTTCTCCCTTCGGCGGCGTCGTTCTCGATCTCGTGAGCTCCTCTTTTTCTCCTTTTTGCTAGAGTCGACTTCCCCTGCAGTCGAAACACCTTCACCTGAGCTCCTCACAACCTGCTCCTTGCTGTCCTCCGGGCGATCTCCACTGGCACTGGCGGCGTCAGCCTTCTGAGGAACAACAACTGGGCACCTCCTTGATCTGCTTGGGCTTTCTCCTCGTCGGGCTTGGGCTCCTCTTTCACCACCTTCTTCTGTTCAACTTCTCCCTCGCCCGGGAGGCTCTCAAACTCGTGTGCCATGTACCCACCCGCTAAGCCGAGAAGCTGCGGGATTCAAAGGGGTGTTCTTCTTTAAACTCGGGTCGAAAGTCATGTGTGTGTGTGTGCCACAGCGTCATTTTTTTGGTACTCAACTCAAATACACTATCTATTATGTGGGGGCCCTATCTCGTTCAGACTACTTAAGTAGAAGGCCATGTCACAGTATCTCGTTCAGACTACTTTAGTAGCAAATCACACTATCTCATTCAGACTACTTTAGTGCTCGTTTATGTGGGGACCCTATCTCGTTCGCAAGCGAATACTGACGATAGACAAGCACATAGAGCATGCCATAGACTACTGTCTTTAGTAAAGCCTAAATAAAAGTTGTTGCTCATATATATATATATATTTACTATGGCTTACAAATGTTTACGACACCATAGTATATAATTCAAAATCTTATCTATATCTCATGCTACTTGGTTCACCCTGCCTTTTGCGATCTTCGACGCTGCTTTGGCGCTTCCTGGCAAATAGAGCTCTTGCGACACTCGGAAAACATAGTAATATCACCTCAACAGTTGCAACACAATTGTGGTGGGTGGCCTGTTGTGCTTTGGCTACATATGTCACGACCTGTGCAGGAAAACAGAGATTTTGCAGCAGCGCCACTGCAACGCATGCTAAACCTGCCTCGCTGGCTTGGGGCATCTTAGGCTCTACCAGAGGCTCTGCCACTTCAGACCTCTCAAGATGCACTGCCTGTGGCGCCTCAGCACCTCCAGACAGCTCCTGAACCTGCTCCTGAGGCTCCTCCAGACTTTCCTGGATTTCGTCCGTAGGGTTTGCCACCTTTGACATCTCCTCTTGTGGCAAAGCCATCTCGGCGCTTGGAGCTTGTGGCATCTCCTCTGGCTCCTGCGCACTTTTGACACGAGGCACTTGCGGGAACACTTGCCCATTACGCAAACCTGGCTTCGTTTCTTCAGCTCACTTTAGGGAGCGCTGCAATGAAACATGCATGGCAAGAAGGTTGAACTCGAACGCCTTAAAGCCAGACACGACCTGGGACTGGAAGATATGCCGCCCCTGGAACGATCTCTTTTCAATCAACTACCCCTGGTTTGATCGGCAATGATGTCAGTCCCAGACAAGTCGTGTCTGGGAAATTGACCTCTTAAGGGTTTGCAAGCGACCTGAAGTTGTGTTTTTTGAAGCTCGGGTCCAAGTTAAACATCCACAAATGTCGGAGGGGTGGAGTTGCGCAAAGAAATATACATGCCGGATGGCCAGCAGGGAGTACAAGGGCAGAATTTTCTCCAACTGAATGTTTAGCACCTTAACTGAAAAGGACCTACCCGAAGGGGAAGGGCACCCTTAGCAATTGCACACGCAGCACCCAAGACTTGGCACAACAGCATGTTCTGGCTGCACAACTTATATAAGCGAATCAGTTGGACTTGTGGTCTTCTCTGGTGCCACCTGCTAGAACATTGGAGCTTAGCACATCGTCTTTCGTCTTTCATCCTAAGGCCAGCCACAAGTTGAGACCTTGTGCACTTCTTCATCTCTGTTGACAGCTTCTTGATGCCCTTCTGTGGCCTGGGAGGCAGCATGCAGGAACAAAGGCAAATGCAAAACAAGTGTCGCCAAGAGCAATAATGATCAAAGCTGTTTTCGGTTGCAAAGGAATCTTAGATCAACCAGAATCTAGTGCAGCGTGAACTCCCCGAAAGCTGGAACACTTGGTTGATCTTCACTGAAAGTCGGAACCTCGGAAAGTTTTTTTTTTTCTCGGAACCTGTCCAACCTGGAACCTTGCTTGCAACTTTGGGAACCTGGTGTGCAACATGCCTTTTCTTTATAGGGCTAAGCTGAGTAAGCTACTAGCCACCGGATGCAGGATAGCTCGGGCTTCTTCATGTGGTTCCTAGATGTTTAACGGAAGCAAATTCTTCTGTAGCCTCATACTCTGAATTCCTTGAATGTGGCTGGACCTGTTGGAACCTTCAGGGACCCAAAGCATCGCAAAACTTGCGCGCACTTGGAATTGAGCCCTTCGCGAATCTTTCTGAAACCCGGAACGTCCTGGAGTCTGCCTGTGGAACCTACCTGAAACTCTCTGGAATGCTAGGCTGCACAAGACCTCTCCACTTCACTCATCTGATTCATTCCGCTTGCGACCTTCTGAAACCAACTTGGAAGGGTGCTGAAGCACTGGAGCTCCGGACTGGAAAACTCTGAAGTTTGTTGAACCTTCATCTGGAAACATCAGAGACTGAATTTGGAGCCAAAGCCTTCCAGAACCTTCATCTGTATTCCTGACCTTTTGGATTCAAACATCCCATCCTTTTCTTTTCCAAACGCAAGAGCCAAAACTCTAGAGCGCAGCCTATCATGTTTCAATGACCAGGCTCATGGTCCAGCTTCCGGGCCACTTAATAGTTCATATGTCTCAATCGTGACTTGACCCCAAAAACCAACACCACGCTGATCTGAAACCTCTGCAGAATTTTGATCCGGAACCTGTCAGACTCTTCTAAAGCCTCCGCCCCTAGAGGTTTTATCAACCTACAAACGTCCAGCAGCTGATGTGTTGTGTTGTGGAGTGACCAAACCTTCACTTCAGAATCTGACCCTTTCAACTTGGTATCACAAAGTCAGACGGGAGAGATATTCTGCTCTGGAGGCATTCAGAACTGTTGCAAATACAATATCGAATTACTTGTTCAAGCATCGTGTGGTTTGAAATTTGAACCACTGTTGTAATTTCTGAAGTCCAGGAGTCCGAACATGAACCACTTCAGGTCCAACGGGGGGGAGGGTGCTAGCGGGTGATACTGCTTTGTTCAACACATATCGATCCCAAGATTCGAGACCAGGAACGCAGAACAAAAGAATAGTGCCCTCAGGTGAGCGCACCATAGAAGCTCAGGGAGCAACCATCGGCGCGCCGCAGATTTTGAGCATGCGGGGGCAGGCATTGTAGTAGAGAATGCCCTCTTAAACTCCATTGCGCACGTACCCCAAAGAAATGGCCACATTGTGTCCATTACTTGTTCATGTCACGGGGTTGATGTTACAATCATATGCGCACATGCCCCACACAGTGGCCGTTCAACCAAGGACAAGCACACATTTTTTATTAACATTTACCTGATGAAATTACATCCTCTCATGGAAGGTGTATCATTGGTGGTGACTTTAACGCTAGGATCCATTGCGTACGTACGCGAAGTTGACACTGCTGTTTGTGGTCTGTACATAGTTGGGAGAGGAATGGAATACATTAACAACATGAGTGACCAAACCAAAGAAAGCAGGGCACTTTTCTTGGGCTGGTGCAAAATGCATCATCTCAAGATCCTTAACAGCCAGTTCTTTGAAACCATTAGATAGATTGATAAGTACAAAGGAAAATAACTGATTCTGATTTTGAGTCCCCTTTTGATGCTGAAGGATATGCACAAATCTACTACTGGCTGACAAATTCGACATGGAAAACTGCATGCACAAATGCCCAAAGCCGGCACAGGGGGCATTCCTTTTGAGTAGGAGAAGCGCAATTCGAGATGAAACCCAACAAGCGCGTGCAAGAGCCCAAGGCGTCTAGAAGTTCCTGAAACCTACTATATATATATATATATAGCTCAGTGGAACTGTTTCAACTCCCAATGTGTTCAATCTTTGTCACAGCAGTCTTTGTGCCTTAACAAGTCTGTTGAAGGTATCTTGTGCACTGCTGAAAACAATTTGGAAGCTATACCAATAGAAAAGAAACAAATCGCATATTTCAAGAAACACATGGGCCAAAAATTGCAAAAAAAACTTAGGAAGAACGGAGCGTCCTCGCAAGAGGTATGACAATTAAACAAGGAAATCTGCAAAATGGCGCGTAAAGACCGTAGCAATCATCTGATTGAGCAGTTTAATGAAAACCCTCAAGATCCACACAAGAATCAGAAAGGGTTGTGGAAGGCAGTAAAAGGTTTAACAACTAATTTACACCGCAATATGTTACTGCGTTCAGATGAAAAACGAACATGGAAAATATGTTCCTATAATAGAGAGGGCGCAGACCATTGCCAATTTTCTCGAGTCAAAGGAATGCCGGATGCGGCGCCAATCTTATTGAATATCGGGGCAAAAGTTATGAAAGTGTATTCACTCTTAAGGAGTTGAATGCAGCATTAAAGTCATGTAAAGATAATAAACAACCGGGCTCACATGGCCTGCAAATGAAATTGATGAAATGGGTAAATCGCGACAACCGACAGTTCCTGTTAAGCCTCATCAACAGCTGGTGGCAAAGTAAGGAAGCGGCTTTTTCTTGTGAGGGTCGCCCCCCTCGTCAAACAAGGAGATACCGACATTAACGATGCTTTATCCAATACACAATACGGATTTCGGCCTCAAAGATCAACATCCCATGCCATATGTATCATGATCATTCCCAGACTCCAAGACTACGCCGAGTCAAAAGGTGCCCGATTAAGTCTAGCCCTTTTAGATTGGGAAACAGCTTTCGATAAAGTACAACACGATGAACTAATCGTCGCTTAAAACAGAGCTTTGTCAACACATTATTGTGATATCATTCGAGACTGCCATAAAAAGCCAACATGTTTCGTGAAGCTGTGTTTGGATCATCCCAGGTCAAATGCCAATCTTATGGCATCAGGCAAGGGTGCCCCCTTTCCCCTTACTGTATCTGTTTGTTATTGCGATGTCTTGCGTGGATTTTGAGATTCGCTCCTAAATCAGTCGATGGGTACACAATGGCAGAGTCCCAAATCTGGATTTTGATCTAGTTTACTATGCAGATGATACCATCCTTTTTTCCACTGACAACAGGGCATTAAATGAGTTGTTAAAGCTCACTGAAACTATCTCCTGCAAATACCCGGACTGCGACTAAAAAAACACAAGTGTGTGGCGATACAAATGAACAATGATGGTGTGGTCCTTGTTGCAAATCCAAAGAAGTTGGAAGCGACTTATTTAGGAAACGACATCAACAAGGAAGCAAACATTTGACATGAAATCTTGAACAAAACGCAAGAAGTAAGACAGACCTGGTTCAAATTGCTGCCATACTGGAAGGCAACAAATGCAAACATCATATGGCAACTGCTTGTTTTTGATGCTGTTGTCCGATCAAATTTGTTATATGGGCATATGTGGGCTTGAAACTATACACCTCACGATGCCATGCTGAAGAAAACTGATGCCTTCCAACTACGGGGCTTGAGGAGAATCCTCAAGGTTCCGTCATGTTCCGTCAACATTGATAGACAGAAGAAACACAAACAAAGAAGTTCTGAATAGATGTACAGCGCTGGCATACCCAATCTTTCCGTAGAAGATCTAAATTATTGGGTCATGTACTCAGGACTAGCCAATTGAGTTTCTTATAGAACAAAAAAACCAGCCGGTCGCCCGAGACAAACCTGGCTGCATTACGCCAAAAAGCACACTTTTGAACATATCTCAGGAGGTTATGACTACACTGAAACAGAAACTGTTGCTCAAGATTCACAACTATATAATCCAACCTTTACTCGAACTTTATGATATTCAAGTAATTGTGCCGCGGATTCTGTTGGCTACGCCAACGCTGCATGCATATGACCAATGTCGGTGCGGGGTACGGCTGGGAAAAACTGATCTGAATGGGTCTTCCGTTGGTCCTCTGTGGCAGAAGGCGGAACTCTTTGGGAAACTGCGAGTACCGGGGTCGAATCTCTCTCACTTCATGACACTCTCTTACCAAAGGCAAATCATGAACAAAGGGGACCAGGGACGGGTGCAGTGACCCGAACAATGTGTGGAAAAGTAGAGCAAACGCGTATCAAACGCCAAAAGGACACTTCGTTTGGCCGGTTCATGCGGCAAAGACGATGAATGAATCAATGCTGACCCGTTGCCGCATCGTCTTCATTCTCCTTCAGAAGGACGCGAGAGTGTTGGCTGTCCTATCAGGCGTCCAACAACATCCCCAATGCATGCACACGGTTTCAATTCAAATGTAGAACATCCAAAGCTTGAGGCAGCTATTGCACCACATCGTCCATGGCACCGAGAAAAACGTAAAGGCCTTCTCTGCCTTCTCTGGAGACTCAGCAACCGTGGGTTCTTCCTAGGCTTTAAAAAGGATTGAGAGTGATAAGCGATGGCAAGAGCTCATACTCTCGAGAAAGAGATCAAAAAGAATCAAAAAGGCATCTATTTTTTGAAAATAAACAAAATAAACACAAAAGCTAGGAATTAGAAGAAGGACATCCAGAGAGCTTTGTATATAGAATTCGCATGTGAAAAGGAGATCCATCGTCCCTGCCAAGCCAGGTCACTTCGACTTCTGGCTGGGGCTCAGCATCGGCATCGATCATCTCCTTTGGCGATTCAACAGCCGTGTACAAGTAGGACATGTATAAAATTGCCTAAGCATGTCTCTATTGCATCCGTGTGTGTGTGTGTGTCTGTGGGGGGGGCCGGACCTCCACTCCATCCAACACATCTTCAGCTTGCACCTCATGCGAAGCTTCATGTGTGGCCTGCACAAAAATTTAACGAGGATTTGCTTGATCCAGAAACCTGCAATCTCAGCAAACAAATGAAAAGAAAAAATAAGAAAGGCCTCCTGTGCAGGAACCTCCTTTTGCTGCGTGGAATGGTCCTCTGGCCAAATCGCTACATCACCGACGTTGCCATGAGAGCCACTGTGTCAGTCATTGCATTTGTTAATCATTTGGTGGATGACTTGCTCAATTCCTTGTGTCCATGCCGCGAGAGCTTTGGAGATCTCACATCCTTGGCCAAGGCCATTGCCAAAAATCAGGGATACACCATGATACACCAGGGAAACGCACCACAAGTCCATCTATTGCCATTCGCTTTTGACATCTTTTGATTGTGACTTTAAGCAAGAAGGTGTCAATGCCTTCAGCACTGAAGACAGGCTGAATACAGCACATAATGGCAGTAAGAGGTAAGCTTAGTAAGCGACTGGAAGCTGGCACCAAGGACGAAGTGGCGTTTTCGTTTCTGCTCGGGTCATCTGCTCTGTTTCCTTGGTTCCTCCATTTTTTCCTTGTTACTAGTAGCCATGCCCTTGTTACTAGTAGCGATGCACCTTATTACTAGTAGCGCTCTTTGCTGACTTTAACACCTCACCCTGCACTTTTCTGAACTTCGCTGGCACAACGTGCTTTCGCTAGGACGATTCCTCACTTGCGCGTAAAGCTCCGGGAGTTTAATGAGGTCTCGTTCCCCCTTGTCTCTCTACTCCAAGCCCGCTTTTCATTTTCGTTATTTTTGAGATGAGAACCAACCAATAAATCAGTTGCAAGATGTAGCAAGCATTGCTTTGAAAGAGTCAAGTAATTATTTTTACCCCACATTCTAAGTATCAAAGCTCGTGTGTGGAGTGCACCCATCTATAAGGTTTTTGGTCACCGGCCAAACACCACTGGATTTGAGCAGATCTTGGCTTAACTTAGACTCTAAAATGACAACAGTCTTCAGGTGTTTGTTACCAACCTGGAATCAAAGGTGCGCCGGACCCTGTGCCAAACTAGTTTCCTGTTTTCGCGCTACTGTTTGTTAGCTTTTGTGAGGCTCTGGCATTTAGATTTGCAGCAGTTTTGCAGTAAAGTGAAAACGACTGGAATTGTGGACACTTATGTGTTGAATCGTCAAACCATGTGTTTAATTCAGATTGTCTGAAGCCTTGAACCTCGACAACCGACAACCTGGCTTACCTCAGGTCCCAACACCCACCTGGGGGTAGCGTCTGTAAAACAAAAAATACTCCAAAATGACGGCAAACAAAAGCTCATTCGCTTGGAGAGCGGCAATCCAACTGTCCGGGACATTGTGCGATGCAGCTTCAATGTTTGGCTCCTGTGTTCGTTGACAGCTAGAATTCAATCAATACGAGATCAATTGAAACAACAAAACGTTGCCTACGAACCCAATTCACACACGTATACGGAAGCAAACTCCCAGACCCCAACAACACTCTGCGACACTTTTGTCGCACACGGTTGTAGAACACTCTTGTGATCCCAGCGTCAATCCCGGGTAGGGTCCTGCCACAGATTTTATAGCTATAAAATGGTGAAACCCACCAGCAAAGGGACATAATTTGGTGTGACCCCACCACGGCTGAACTCCTATATTTTCACTAGACCAGACCTCCAAAACTTGACTCAATGACACTGAATATACGCTCAACATTCTAGCATCTACATTCCCGGTCCCACTCGCCGGCTTCACAGCCAGCTAGCTATGCTTCTGGTCACACATTTGTAGGCACTTGGAACTGAGCCATCTGCGGACGTGTTCAAAAATCAATGACTGTACATATCAAGCACCCAGTTCTCTATAAAATCACCCTCAGACCCCCTCAAGGGGCCATCTCATAAAACGGTTTATGCCATACCATGACCCCTTAGATCTCTTGTGGGACACTCTTGTGGCAAATTCTTGTCGGACACTTTTTTGGGACACTCTTGTGGGACAGCTCTTAGAGCGACCAGCAAAAAGGGTGCCCCTGGGTGGAAGCTGTGCACCGCACGATCAACGGGCTCAAACACATGAAGGGTTTTCCATCAAAAGCAAACAGTCGGGGTCGTACGGGCCACTAGGACAAACCGAAAGGTTCCGCGGAGCTCAGGTCAAAGCATGGTTCGCGAACGAAAAACATTTGACGGCTCCCAAATTCTTGTTGGCCTGAGCTCCTTTTCCCTTCTTCCTCAAATCTGAGGACGTTCGTCCGTGGCTCTTCGCATCTTCTCGGGTCGCCATCAGGTCCTTCTCGGCCTGAATGGAAAAGCGCCCGGTCTCTAACAGCTTCAAAAAGGCAGACTTGGTTCCTTTCACCTTATACTCAAAACATCAGCGACCATGGATGGATGATCCACCCATCGGATCTGCCCCCCTATGGAATCTAGCTCCTCTCTCACTATCTGAACCTCCATGGCAGTTCTCCGATCTTGACCTGCAAGGGTCTCACGAGCCAAATATAGTCGTAGAGGGACTTGGCATCGACCACGGCAAGACTCCGCTTCAGACGATCATCGCTATGATTCGAAGCGAGGGCTAAGATCTTTTCATTGGATAAGTTGTGAGCCCAATTCCTCAGGTGAAGCGACGGTTCTTCGAGCTCTCGGAAAAGCAACAGCATCCACATGAGATCTCCGAGTCCACGGCTCAAACTCTGAGTCTCAGCGACTAAGTGTTGAATTGCCTTCTCTCTCAATTTTTTCCACTGCACCACCACAGCAAATTCGCGGTGACTTCATTGGCATCCTTTAGGCCATCTTCATGGCTCAGAATCATCTGTCCTCCTTGGCTGTGGAAACCGTGGTTTCCAAAAGAGGCGTCTGTGACGACAGCCAACTTCATCTTGGACAGGGGTTGAATGGAGATGGTCAAGTCAGCATGACTTTTGATCTCCTTGACTGCCTCATTGAGGCTGATGAGATCTTCAACTACCATCCTGTTCAGCCTCGAGGACATAAGACTTGCAACCCCAGCGGCATCTGGTCGTCCTTCTTTGGAGATCCAGTTCAAGGCGCCGTGTATCATCCTTGTCTGCTTCCTCTCTTCTTCGGTCACCGGGCTTTCTTTCTCCTTCTTTCTCCGGGACGGAATGTCCACCATCGGAAGTCGCTCATTGACGAACTTGATCACGTCGATCTTGAAGCCGTAGTCTTTCATTTGGCGGATTCTTCTTCCGTTAAGGGGGCTCCTTCTGGGGTATCTTGCAGCATGACCCACTAATTGGAAGGTTCTTCCCTGACCCTCCAATACCCCTTATTTAGTTGGACCCCTTATTTAAGGAGTCTGATATAAAACTAGACGACGAGTGGCCCGAAAGCATTTTTCATCATGTAGGAAGTCAGAGTGTGAGTTATCCGGTAAGTGTGCGGTGTGAAGTGTTACGTAGGTTTCCTGCTAGTAGCTAGTAGCTTAGTGGCTTCAGCTAGATGTCCACACGGCATGAACATGTGTGAAACATGTGACGTGAACGGGTCATGGAGATTCTCGGTTGCGGAGAGCGTGCCCAAAGTGGAGAGATAAAAGGTGCCCATCATGATGTTCGATGATCTAGGTTATCGACATAGGTGGAGTGGAGTTGATTCGGCGAAACGAAACGAAACGAAACGCGAAACGAAACGAAACGCGAAACGAAACACGAAACTAAACGAAGTCGAGTGAGTTGAGGTAGTGTGTGGGTTTCTGTGCGTGTGTCTATGTCCGTGTGGAAACGAGTCTGCGTATGTGTGTGTTCGTGGAAGTTGAGGGAGTGTGTGGGTGTCTGTGTGCGATGCGGCCTCCCAAACCCCCCACCGGCGGCCAAGCGGTGACAGCCCAGCTCATCGCGCACTCGACACGCACGATCTCCGCCTACTCAAGTTGTACTAGAAAGTTGCCAGTTCTCAGCTTCCAGCTCCCCAGCTACTCCGCGTACTAAAGTTGCACTACAAAGTCGCCAGTTCTCAGTTCTCAGCTTCCAGCTCCACAGATTGCTCCGCGTACTAAAGTTGTACTAGAAACTCACCAGTTCTCAGCTTCCAGCTCCACAGCTACTCCGCGTACTAAAGTTGTACTACAAAGTCGCCAGTTCTCAGCTTCCAGCTCCACAGATTGCTCCGCGTACTAAAGTTGTACTAGAAAGCCGCCAGTTCTCAGCTTCCAGCTCCCCTGCTACTCCGCGTACTAAAGTTGTACTACAAAGTCGCCAGTTCTCAGCTCCCAGCTCCACAGATTTCTCCGCGTACTAAAGTTGTACTAGAAAGTCGCCAGTTCTCAGCTTCCAGCTCCCCAGCTACTCCGTGTACTAAAGTTGTACTACAAAGTCGCCAGTGCTCATCTTCCAGCTCTCCAGATACTCTGCGTACTAAAGTTGTACTACAAAGTCGCCAGTTCTCAGCTCCCAGCTCCACAGATTGCTCCGCGTACTAAAGTTGTACTAGAAAGTCGCCAGTGCTCATCTTCCAGCTCTCCAGATACTCTGCGTACTAAAGTTGTACTACAAAGTCGCCAGTTCTCAGCTTCCAGCTCCACAGATTGCTTTCGCGCGCTCGACACGCGCGATCTCCGCAGAGGGTTGCGCGCGGACCGCACCAATCGCACTCTCGCCTGCATTTCGCGCACTCGACACGCACGATCTCCGCAGAGGGTTGCGCGCACAGCCGGCACATCGCACTCTCGCCTGCATTTCGCGCACTCGACACGCACGATCTCCGCAGAGGGTTGCGCGCGCAGCCGGCAAATCGCACTCTCGCCTGCATTTCGCGCACTCGACACGCACGATCTCCGCAGAGGGTTGCGCGCACAGCCGGCAAATCGCACTCTCGCCTGCATTTCGCGCACTCGACACGCACGATCTCCGCAGAGGGTTGCGCACACCGGACAAATCGCACTCTCGCCTGCACTTCGCGCACTCGACACGCACGATCTCCGCAGAGGGTTGCACTTTCGGTTGACGCTGTTCGCCCCGCACTCCGCCTTTAAGAGAGAATTTATAAAGTGGGGAAATGTTTTTTCATTAGGACATCTCCCGTGCTAGTTTTCAATACTCACACTTGCCTACTCACCCTTGCATATCATGCTTGCATACTTACACTTGCATACTTTGACACTGGCATACTTCGCACTTGGATGCTTTCGCTCTTCCAGTGTGTGTGTGTGTGTAAGTGTGAGTGTCGAAGTGCAAGTGTCGAAGTGTCAGTGTTCAAAGGATTTTCCGGAAGAACCCTTCGCAATGCTTTCGGGAAAAATTAAGGAGTCTAGACTCGCTAATTTAAGGTGTCTTTTTAGGGTGTCTTTTTTTGGTGTTTAGATGTTGTTTTTATAAAAACTTGAAGTGAATCTTTCACAGGATCCTTCACAGGATTGAAGAATTTCTTCATAGGCTTAAGAACATCTTAAGAAAGGTTCCAGTATCCTTCACATGATTTTCTTAAGATTGGTATAAAGTCTTAATGCAAAACATCAAGGCTTCATGGGCAACACCCCACCTCAAATCCTTCAAAGGATTCCTGGTGCGTCAACTGAGGTTAAAAAACTCTTTCCAAAGGATTAAACGCCAAGCTCTCTCCGCCTGAATCCTGAAAGGATTAGCAAAAAAGCCTGTCAAACTTTACTTCAATGGTCAAAGATGCCAAACTCTTTTTTCATTTGCTAAACAACTGGTGCCCTGAAACCCAGATCGCTGATCTGCAACAAATGATTTTCACCTCTGGATGGGCCACTCAGGCACCAAGTTGTGAGCTCTGAATTTCGTCAAAACATTCCAAGAAGTACTAGCAGCAGAATTGGTGCCCCCTCTCCTTTTAGAGGCAGCTGCCACAGAGCCCCCCCAGTCTTCATCCCTGTAGGTCCAAGACAAAGAAGGAAGAACTTGGTCAAACTCTGCCATCTCTTGCAGCAAATGGAATTTAGGCTTGAATTTCCACAGCCCTTCAGGACTGCTCTGTTCTAGAGCCAGATAAAGAAGCAGGAACTTTCTAGTGAGTTCCTTGAAGGTAGCTTGGCAAAAAGAATTTTGTGATAAACAATCGTTCATTGCCAAACCAAATAAAAACCTGGAGGACAGTGTTCTCCCAAGAGTCCTCCTTCTTCAAAGTTTTTCTGCCAGTTCCAGAAGCCAAGGAATCAAACTTCTCATTTCTCCAGCATTGGCTCTCAATTTAGGCTTGCTTTGGCCTCCTTTCTTGGACTCTTTCCTCAACATTCCAGGTGTCAAGGCATTGAGTTCATGGCCATGAGCAGTTCTCCTGTAGAAATCTACAATGCTTCTGTGCATAGAATGGCATTGCTGCTTGGGGGCGGCTCCTGGAAACCGGTCTAGAACATGGCGCAGCAAAATCTGCAGCAACCCCCAGGTCTAC